GTCTGACATTTCAAACTCCTCACTCAGGTCATGTTTGAAATCTTCGATCTCCTTCTTGCGACTCCCTGTTATCAACAAATCATCAACATAGAGACATAGTATAAGCAATTTGCCATTGCTTCTTCTTACATATACTCCATGCTCAGTTGTACACTTCACAAATTCCTTCTCCCTTAAGAAGCTGTCGGTTTTCTTATTCCAAGCTCTTGGAGCTTGCTTAAGTCCATATAGGGCTTTATGAAGCCTGTACGCCTTTCTTTCTTCGCCTTGTTTCACAAACCCAGCTGGTTGTGCAACATAAACTTCTTCGTCTAAGGGGCCATTAAGAAATGCACACTTCACGTCCATCTGACATGTGCGCCAGTTGTTCATATTTGCTAGACCAACAACCAACCTGATTGTTTCGATTCTAGCAACATGTGCGAATACTTCATCGAAGTTGATTCCTTCCTTTTGAAGAAATCCTTTCGCCACAAGTCTCTCCTTGTGTCGAGTTACTTCTCCTTTAGGATTTACCTTCACCTTGTAAACCCACTTCACATTAATTGCCTTCTTGCCTTGCGGCAATTCAAAAAGTGACCAGGTATCATTGACTTCGATGGACTCCAACTCTTCAATCATTGCTTTCATCCACTTCGAATCTTTCAATGCCTCAGCTGCATTGACTGGTTCGACATCTGCGTAGAAAGCATAATGTACCAGCTCACCTTCCTCATCGACTACATCATCTGATGTAATTACACATTCTTGCAACCTTGCAGGCATGTGTCTTGTTCGTCGAGGTCTGCTTGAACCTGCTTCATCTGCAACTGGTTCCTGTCGAACTTCTATTTCGACTTTAGTGGCTGGTTCTTCACAAGAGATTCTCACTGAATCCTTCTTGGCATTCTCAGTCCAATCCCATTCTTTAAGCTCATCTATGATCACATCCCTGCTGATCACTGCCTACTTATTCACTGGGTCGAACAACTTGTAACCTCCTGTCGAATGATATCCTATCAAGATCATCTGATTCGACTTATCATCAAGCTTCCTTCTCAATTGATCTGGCACATGTCTATGTGCTATAGATCCAAACACCTTCAAGTGACTAAGACTAGGCTTGACACCAGACCAACATTCTTCTGGCGTGATTCCTTCAAGCTTCTTCGTCGGACATCTGTTCAATATATATGTTGCTGTCGAAACTGTTTCTCCCCATAATTCTTTAGGTAGATGCTTTCCATTCAACATACTTCTCACCATATTCATGATGGTTCTGTTCTTGCGTTATGCAATCCCATTTTGCTGTGGAATGTAAGGTGGCACCACCTCATGCACAATCCTTTCTTTTACACATAGTATATCGAGCTCTTTCGACACATACTCTCCACTATCATCAGTCCTTAGAATTTTCAGCTTTCGGCCACTCTGTCTTTCGACCATGGACTTGAATCTGGAAAATACCTCAATCACATCACTTTTCTTCTTGATGAGGTAAGTCCATAACTTTCGACTGTAATCATCTATAAACATGATAAAGTATCTATTGCCACCAATTGAATCCACCTGGATTGGACCACATACATCAGAGTATATGACTTCAAGTATTTCCTTTGACTTCCTTCATGCATCCTTGCTGAAGCTATTCTTGTGTTGTTTCGATTGAACACACTCCTTACAGACTTCACTTGAAATGTCGATTTCTGGTAATCCTGAAACCATATTTCTTCTCTTCAGTTCTCTGATGTCATTAAAGTTGAGATGACCTAGTCAAAAATGCCATAACCACTCATCTCTGTTGGCTGCAGTTGCTAGACATTTATGCTCCATCACATTGAGTCCAATATTGAAGGTCCTATTCTGAGACATTTGAGCCTTCAAGATTAATCTACCACCTGCGTCGAGAACTCTCATCATCTCGTCTTTGACAACTACCTTGTAGTTCTTTTCGACAAACTGCCCTATACTGAGAAAATTACTCTTCATGCCTGGTATGTACAACACATTGGAAATTGTTGACCTTTTGCCATCTTTCCTCATAATCAGAACATCACCAACACCTTCGGCTGCTAGAGTGTTGTCATTTGCAAACTTCACTGTGTTCTTCGACGAGGGCTTCATGTTGACAAACCAATCTTTCCTTCCAGTTATGTGTGATGAGCATCCTGAGTCCAAGTACCACTGATCTTGGAATCTTTCTTCATCTTTTGTTGTGACCATTAGCAACGTTTCTTCTTCTTCATGTTTCGCCAACTTTGCATCAGTCTCTTGATTTCTCTTCCTTTCTGGATAATCACTAACATAATGACCATGCTTCTGGCAATTAAAATATTGAATGTGGCTTTTGTATGTCTTTCGACCACCACCTCTTCCTTTACCTGCAGCACTACCTCTTTGGTTGCCTTGGTTCCAAGGTTTCTTCTGATTCGACTGGTTTCCTCCTTTGTTGCCACTCCAGCTACCTTTGCCTTTTCTTTCCTTTTCTGACGCCTGCAAAGCCATATCTTTCGACTTTCCTGTAGCTCTCTCAGCCATCCTCTGTTCATGAGACTCAAGAGTCCCTTGAAGCTCTTCCTTCGTTAACACTAACAGATCTTTCGACTCTTCTATGACAACTGCCACGTGGTCAAATTTTGGAGCCAACGATCTCAAAATCTTTGAGACAACTGCTTTCGTTGTTAGCGCTTCTCCACATACTTTGATTTGATTCACCAACTTTGTAACTCTGGTGAAGAAATCTGTAATGCTTTCGTTGTCTTCCATCTGAAGTAACTCATAGGTTCTCTTGTGAGTTTGTAACCTCACCTCTTTCACCTTCTCTGCACCTCCAAACGACTTTTCAAGAATCTCCCATGCTTCTTTTGCTGAATCAACATCACTAACCTTTTCAAAGTTATCAGGATCAACACACTGATGAATTATAAAGAGTGCTTTATAATCCTTCTTCTTCAATTCTTTATGCGCAGCCTTTTTTGCCTCCGTTGCGTTCTCCCCAAACGATGTTACTCCGTCCTTCACAAGATCCCAAAGATCTTAATAACAGAAAATCACCTTAATCTGCTTGCACCAATTCTCATAATTGTCTTTCTTGAGAATTGGCAGGGTCGCCGGAAAGTTACCGTTCGGATAGTTCATTGCCATCACTATCTTTCTTCCTTGAATCTCTCAACCGGAGCTCTAGATACCAGATGTTAGAAATTCACCTCACACCCTATGAAGAATTCCCTTCAATCTTGATCTAAAGATTGATGAACAAACCCACAATATGATAGTAATGGTAATAACAAGTAATTATCAAGAACAACAAAAGAGAAGAATGAGTGAAGAAATATTTGGAGAAAATTGTTACCCACAAGCTATGGGATTTCTGATTGCTTATAGAACTTTCACTTGCTAAAACTGCAACTGTGAAATCTGTTCAATGTTGTGTTTGAATACAAATCAAGACACCCTATTTATAGTTTTAGGTTTACAAAAGCCCAAAACGTAAAAGGCCCAAAATATTCAAATCAAATCTAATCATATTAAATCAAATCTGTTTACACTATGAATTACATTTAACATAAATAAGTATCACCTTTTATCACGGTTGATAATAACAACTGTGGTGATATACAAGGTCAATCACATATTTATCACGATAAATGACTAATTATTGGTGTTGGAATTCAAACTATTTCACTCCGTGTATCTTTTACTACGGTTACTTCATTTGACTTTTGTGACATGTCCTTTAATAAATACAAAAAAGAAAGTCCAACAATAAACTATTACCACAATTAACACTATGACCGTTATAAAATTGGTATTACGAAAAGTCTATTTTACAATAATATTAGATATCGTTGTTTGTTATTTGTGAGAAAACAAAAATAATGAATTATGATATGTTTATTTCTAAAGATTCTTATTTTATAGTCACCTTATTTTCGTATGTAGTATGTCACTCGGATTTGGATCCTCTCTTTTTTTATATATCATGCCATCTCTCATGTTCTAATCTAACGGTTCAGAATTTATAATTAATAATTAAATAAAAAAACAAAGACAAATTACTTATTCATTTCTCTCTCCTATTAAATAACTTTTTTTATTTAATTATTTATTATAAATTCTGAACCGTTAGATTAAAAACATGAGAGATGACATGATATATAAAAAAGGAGAGGATCCAAATCCATGTCACGAGAAAAAAAATTTAAATTTTATTTTAACTTTCAAAACACCCATTTATTTTAATTACTATTAAATCCAACAACCATCACATTAGTCAATCTTTCATTTAAAGTCAAATATTATTTACATGAGACAAATAAAATAAATAAATAAAAATAATCCAACAATCATTGCCGTTTCATAATATGAATTTTGAATATTTATATATTATATTTTATTTAAAAGTTATTTTACCATGCATGTTTTTCAAAATTTTTTTTGTATAAATATTTTTTCAATTTTAATATTAAACAAATGTTAATTTTAACTAATAATATTGTATAACGTATAAACTCAATTTTAATGAGTGCTAATAAAAACTCTATTTTTAACATTTTTTATAAAAATATAAAATACATAGTTATGTTCTACCGCATAAAATAATAAAATGTATATGTATTTCATTAATAAAAGAATAAATGTTAGAGAGTTTAAAAAAGAGTTTAAATAAGATTTCTAACACATATTATAAACTTCTAAAGTTCTAACACATAAAACATAAAGCATCAAATCATATACAGTTTATGCTATTATAAACTTCTAACACATAAAACATAAAACATCAAATCATATACAGTATATGCTATTATAAACGTGAACAATGTTGTTATTATTCAATATTTATAAATAAAAAATAATTTAATTTTGCATATTTTCGTAATATAAATACATCTTATTGGAGAACCTATCTTCCATCCCATAGCCATAGCTTCTTTCCCTCCCAACCTAAACTCTTCCTCTACTCTTTCTAAACACAAACAAGAGAGTAAAAGGAAGAAACTACAACACATAGAAAAGCAAATATGTTCTTGCAACAAAGTTATGTATCAAACTTAAGACCAAACTGTCTCATCTTGCACAAGCCATGTCTTCATGGCATTGGCAGAAACCAAACATGTTTTAAGGTTGGGTCTTCAAGGCCAATATTGACAAAACAAAAGAATCATAGCAAGTTTAGAAAAAATGGGTGCAACAAAATCAAAGCTGTGGCTACGAGTGAAGAAGCAATAGAACAGAAAACAGTAAAAGTAAAAGCTACAGTAACGGTTCAACCAACAGTTGGAGGACTTTTCAAAGAATTGGGTGAAAAAGGGTATGATGACATCAAGGATTTACTGGGTAAATCAATTCTCTTGGAGTTTGCTAGCGTTGAGCTAGATCCAGGTGAGTACTTATTACTATTAATTAAATAAATAAAAAATTATGTTTCAAGTTTTTGAAGAATTTTTATTTTTTTAAGTAGTGTTATTACTAATTCTGTCCCAAATTATAAAATATTTTGAATACTTTACACAAATTAAAAAACACAATCATTTATAGACAAAAGAAAAATTATATATGATTTTACAATTTACAATGTTGTCTTTCATTTATTATAGAAGAAATAAAAATTAAAAAAATTGAAAAAAGTAAATAATAAATGATAGAAGATGTACTAGAGAAAATAACATTAATGTTGCATTGAAAATGGAAAGTGAGTTATAATTTGGAACAATTTTTTTTTAAAAAGTGATTTATAATTTGAGATGGTGGAAGTATTTATTTTAAATTAAATTAAAATTAGTTTAGAGTTTACTCAAGGATTATAATTTATTTGATTTAAAACTTTAATATAAATTAGATTAGTTTTTATTCAAATTAAAATCATATATATATATATATATATATATATATATATATATATATATATATATATATATATATATATATATATATATATATATATATATATATATATATATATATATATATATATATATATATATATATATATATATATATATATATTAAAACACAGTTAACAATAAATATTTTCTTAATAATATGAACTTATAAATTTTAATAAAAAAAATTACTATAAGTTGACCTGTTAGTATGCTATATGTCTTGTCAAAGAAACTTTTAATTACAAATTATTTTAGGTACCACAAAATCTAATATGCCTTATCTTGTAAAAGAAGACTTTTCTTTGGCCCCTCAAAAAGATTCATCCGTTTAGTCTTCAGTTTCTAATCTATAATTTGGCTGTATTATGATTATGTATTATGAATTGTGAAGACAAAATTACGATGGTTTCCGTTAAGATAAGCTCAAGTTTATCATTTAGTTTGTAGTAAAAAAAGTTATTAATTAGTTTAAACTTTTACCAAAAGAGTGTTTCTAATTAGTTTAAACTTTTACCAAAAGAGTGTTTCTAATTAGTTACTTGTAATTTTGTTTTACATAAAAAAGAGACAAATCTGGAGAAGGAAAGGATCAAAGGTTACGTCCACTTGACCCATCGATCAGCAGAAGAGATTAAGTATGAAGCTGATTTTGATGTACCAGCAACTTTTGGTGAGATTGGTGCTGTTCTTGTGGAAAATGAGCATAAAAGAGAATCATTCATGAAGGAAATTGTTCTTGATGGCTTTCTCACTGGTCCTATTAGATTTTCTTGTGATTCTTGGGTTCATTCCAAGTTCGATAACCCTGATTTGAGGGTTTTTTTCTCGACCAAGGTATTTTTTTCGGTGCTAAAAATAATAAATAATTGTAGTGTCTACACGTAACTAACTAATAACTAACTATAACAACTAATTTAACTAACTTTTTGAACAGTCATATTTGCCATCTGAAACACCGGAAGGATTGAAGAGGTTAAGAGATGCCGAACTGATAACTTTGCGAGGCAATGGACAAGGCGAACGCAAGGCTTTCGAACGTATATACGATTACGACTTGTATAATGACCTCGGGAATCCAGACAAGGATCCTGATCTCAAGAGACCTGTTCTTGGTGGGAAAGAACAACCGTACCCGAGACGTTGTAGAACCGGAAGACCTCGTTGCACTACAGATCCGTTGTCAGAGAAACCAAGTGACAATGTCTATGTTCCACGAGACGAAAGCTTCTCGGAAGTAAAGCAAGTTACATTTTCTGTAAATACCTTAAAATCGGGTCTCCACGCGCTTGTGCCTGTTCTGAGAACATCTGTAATTGACAAAGATCTTGGATTCCCTATTTTCTCAGCCATAGATGATCTTTTCAATGAAGGATTTAACTTGCCTCCTCAACAACAAAAGGATTTAAAGACTCTTTTGCCAAGGTTGGTCAAGCTTGTTCAAGATATCAGAAATGATATTCTTCGTTTTGAAACTCCGGCTACGATGGACAGTAAGATATTATGTATTTCTTTGCTTATGTTCAACGCGATTCCCAGTATTTGAATTTACAAATTATATATATGATGGTTTGAATATGGCAGAGGACAGATTCTTCTGGTTTCGAGACGAAGAATTTGGAAGACAAACTATAGCTGGTCTTAATCCTTGTTGCATACAACTGGTTACGGTATACTACTTTCGCATGTTACTTTTTTTATTCTATTTTTAAGAAAATCAAAATTCAACATGATCATCGATAATTTGCTATGAAAAAAATATGTAGGAATGGCCATTGAAAAGCAAGCTTGACCCTAATGTTTATGGTCCTGCGGAATCGGCGATAACCACTGATATAGTTGAGAAACAAATCAGAGGATTCACTACTGTGGAAGATGTATGTTTTTGATTAATGCTACTAAAATGCACTAATAAAATAAGTTTTATTTTATCTTACTGAAATTGTTGAAATTTGAATAATTCAATGCAGGCTATTAAACAGAAGAAGTTGTTTGTTTTGGACTACTATGATTTTTTCATGCCATTAGTAGAGGAAGTTAGAAAACTTGAAGGAACAACATTGTATGGATCAAGGACACTGTTCTACCTGAATGAGGACGGCACGTTGAGGTCATTGGCGATTGAGCTAGCTCGACCGGCGATAGGTAAAAAGCCATTCTGGAGGCAAGTGTTCACACCTTCTTGGCACTCAACTGAAGTTTGGCTATGGAGGCTTGCAAAAGCTCATGTCCTTGCTCATGATGCTGGCTACCACCAACTTGTTAGTCACTGGTTGAGAACTCATTGCTGTACAGAACCTTACATCATAGCAACAAACAGACAACTGAGTGCAATGCATCCAATCTACAGATTATTACTTCCACATTTTAGATACACAATGGAAATCAATGCGCTTGCACGCGAAGCACTGATAAACGCGGATGGAGTAATAGAGAGTAGTTTCACTCCCAAACAACTTTCTATCTTGGTAAGTTCAATAGCCTATGATAAACACTGGCAATTTGACTTACAAGCGCTTCCCAATGATCTAGTCCACAGAGGATTGGCAGAAAAAGATCCAAATGCCCCTCATGGTTTGAAATTGGTCATAGAAGATTACCCTTATGCAAATGATGGCCTTGTTCTTTGGGATGCTATCAAATCTTGGGTTACTGATTATGTCAACCACTACTACAACAATGATTCAAGCACTGTTGTGTCAGATAAAGAATTACAAGCATGGTGGGAAGAGATTAGAACTGTTGGTCATGGTGACAAGAAAGATGAACCTTGGTGGCCTAATTTGAAAACAAATGAAGATCTTATTGAAATAGTGACGACCATTGTTTGGATAACATCAGGGCATCACGCGGCAGTGAACTTTGGTCAGTACACTTACGCGGGCTATTTTCCTAATAGACCGGCCATTGCGAGAAACAACATGCCTACAGAAGATCCTTCTGATCAAGAATTGGAACTTTTCTACGATAAACCAGAAGTAACATTGTTGAAGTGTTTCCCTTCGCAACTTCAAGCTATGACGGTGATGACCGTGTTGGATATTTTGTCTAGTCATTCGCCGGATGAGGAGTATCTTGGACAGACGGTTGAGCCATCTTGGGAAGAGGAGCCAATGATTAAAGCTGCTTTTGAAAAGTTCCAAGGGAGGTTGATGGAGCTTGAAGGTATAGTTGATGAGAGGAATGCTGATAAGAATCTGAGGAATAGGAATGGTGCTGGGATTTTGCCTTATGAGCTTTTGAAACCAACTTCAGAGGCTGGTGTAACAGGAAAGGGTGTTCCATATAGTATCTCTATTTGATTTGAACACATTGATCTTTAATGTTCTATGTTTAGGTCACTTTAATCTAATTGACAGTAACTTTGAGTAAAGTTTTACTGTACAACCAATTATCTTTGGCTGTAACATTATATCCAATCCCACTTGATAAAATCTCTTTGGTTAAAAGTATAACTCTCACGAGATTGAATTTAGAAGATGATATTGATCCTTTCTTCTATGTTATAAGTCCTTTAAACTTAAACATTAAAAATAAAAAAAATATAATTATTGAGAAATCAAAATGATCATTGAAAAGTGGAATTCTCATCGAAGAAGAAAGAGTTACAAGCTATGGTATATATACAAGTATCGTGACTTGCACCATAAGAATTCTATATCCTAGCAGACTATAGTGTATCTCTAAGTGTGTAACTGACTTCTAACAACCAACTAATGTGTAACTAACTCATTTCAAGTTAATTGGTGATGTGTAATTGTGTTATCATCATTGTTCACGTGTACATGCTTTGCATGGTTCAATATCCTCCCATAAGGTGAAGGTTGATAAATGTTTATCAACTTCATTTTGACTAATAAAGCATGAAAAAGTTGAGGATGAAGAGACTTGGTGAATAAATCTGCAAGTTGGTCCTTGGACTTGAGGAAAAGAAGCTTTAAGACTCCTTGAATTTGTTTTTCTCTAACAATGTGGCAATCTATTTCCAAGTGTTTCGTGCATTCGTGAAAAACAGAATTTGAGGAAATGCGAAGGGAGCTTTGGTTACAATAGATGGCTGGTGCCTTGGTGCTTGTGATGAGCAAATCTTTCATGAGGTAGAGGAACCATTGTGGTTCACATGTAGCAGCTGCAAGTGCTCGATACTCAGCTTCAGATGAGGAACGAGATATGGTTAGTTGTTTCTTAGTGCGCCATGAAATGAGGGAACGACCACGAAAGAAACATTGGCCAGATATGGACCTGCATGTGTCAATACAACCAGACAAATTAGCATCAGAGTAACCATGTAGCTGCAAGAAGGAGTCCATAGGTAGAAGGATGCCTCAAGCTGGGCAGGATTTGAGGTATTTGAGAATTCTACAGGCTGTCTTGAAGTGAGTAACTATTGAAGAAGACAAAAATTGGCTCATTTGTTGTGTGCAGAATGTGATGTCTGACCTTGTTGCATTGAGGTATAGTAGTCTCCCTATGAGTCATCTATAGGATGGAACATCATGATAGGGATTGATAGAATCTTGGTGCAGTTTAATGTAGGATCAGAAGGAGTTGAAACAGGTTTGGAGTCAAGAAAACCTGAGTCTTCTAGAAAATCAAGACAATATTTTCTTTGGTAGAGAAGGATGCCTTCTTTGGAATGAGCAACTTAAATACCTAGAAAGTACTTTAACTTTTCTAAGTCTTTGATCTTGAATATGTTGTCCAAGGCAGTTTTGATCCTATGAAACTCATGGTGGTTATTTCCTGTTAGTATCACATCACCAACATAGACCACAAAAATGTGATGGAGGATGTATTGGTTTTCACAAAGAGGGAATGGTGTGAGGTAGTGGTGCTCGAGGAGAAATGTGGTAAGATTTTCATACCATGTTCTGCTAGCTTGCTTGAGTCCATATAAGGATTTAACAAGCTTACACACTTGGTTAGTCTTGCTTATGGAAACTCCAGGAGGAATGATCATGTACACATTCTCTTCAATTTCTCCATGCAAGAAGCTAAAGCAATGATGGTTCTCACAGTGGTGATTTTGGAAACTGGTGAGTAGGTGTCAAAATAATCAAGACCCTCAATCTGATTATATCCTTTGGCTACTAATCGTGCCTTAAATCTGTCAATAGAACCATCAACACGATATTTAATCTTGTAAACCTATCTGCAGCCTATTGGTTTGACATTTGGTGGAAGATCAACAATCTTCTAAGTGCTAGTCTTCTCAAGTGCTGAAAGTTCAAGCTGCATTGCTTGTCTCCAACACTCGTGTTTGGATGCCTCATTAAATGTCTTGGGTTCAATGTTAGAAATCAAGGACAATGCATAATGAGAATGTGTAGATGAGAGGGATGCATGAGAAAAAGAATGCGAAATAAGATAAAGAATACCTTTGGAAGCTTGACTTGATGTAGTACGAGAATTACATATATAGTCTTGCAAGTAAGAGGGATGATGTCTCATTCTAGAAGAGGTTCTAGGTGGAGGGTCATGAGTAGCAGTTGTTGGTATTCTAAGTGACTGGTCAGTAGCAATAGGTGCTGGTATGAGAGGTAAGTCATCAATGATGAGAGGAATGAGTGATGTATCTGGTTGTAGGAGTTGGTTTTGGGTAGATGCATTTGTAGGTGTGATGTTAGAAATAATGTCATTAGGTGGTGTTGTGGTAACTTGGTCATTGGAGTGTTTGTCGGATTTAAAAGGTAAGTAAGACCATGAAGTATTTAAGATATGGTTTTTGGGTTGATAGGGTAAGATGTGTTCATGGAAGATAACATTTCTAGAAACAAATGTTTAAGAGGTATGAAAGTCAAGTAATATTTACCCTTTCATACCAGGTTTGTAACCAAGGAAGATGGATTTTCTTGCTCTATAATCTAATTTTGTTCTATGAGATTGAAGAGTAGAAACATAGCATAGAGAGTCAAACACTTTGAATGTGGCAAGGTCAAGTATGTTGTTATGAAGGATTTGGTAAGATGATTTGTCATGAAGGATATATGTTGGTACTCTGTTAATAATGAATGTAGCAAATAAAAAGGCATATGACCAATAAGAGTTTAATAACTTGGACTGGTATAGAATAGCTATGCCTACATTCAATAGGTGTTGATGTTTTCTTTCTACCCGACCATTTTGTTGAGGGTTTTCAACACATTACCTGTGATGCATAATGCCTTTGGATGCATAAAACCGATGTAGCATGAACTCAGGTCTATCATCTGACCTGACAGTTTTAGGTGTTATAATTGGATAATTTTCATGGTAATGAAGTTTTGAACCTGTATGGATACTTCAACTTTAGATTTTAAAAGAACAATCCATACAAATCTTGTGTGGTCATCTAAAATGGTTGAAAAATATTTGTGATTGTGTATAGATGGAGTAGATAAAGGACCCCAAATATCAAAGTGTAAAAGCTCAAATTTATGAGAAGAAATAGAGTTACTTGAGTGATAAGGAAACTTTCTTTTCTTGGCCAAATGGCAAATGTCACAGGTAGCATTAATATCAAAATCAAATGAGGAATATATATTTGACATCTGAGCTATTCTCTTGGGAGAAACATGTCTTAAACGAAAGTGTCATAAGGATGACAATATTTTGGATATGTGGTAAAGGAAAGGAATCATTGACATGGCATGTATTGGCTTGTATTAGGCTTTTGAGTTGGTGAGGTGAACTAGAATCTTCAGAATGAGTATCCATTAGTTGCAAGATATATAGTTCCTTCTCTTTATTGCCCAAACCAATCATCCTCATGGAATTCATTTCCTGCAATAAATAATGATCAATAGAAAATTGGGAAGAACATTTAAGGTTATGACACAACTTTGAGATGGATATCAGATTAAGTTTAAAGTCTGGTGCATACAATACATGATTGAGATATAGGACATGTGTGAAGCTAACATTATGATCATATTGAATAATTGTACAATTTTCATTAGGAAGAGTGATCTTTATAGGTTTAATTCGATAATATGAACTAAATAAATGCAATGATGAACAAACATGATCATTGGAACCAAAATCTAAAATCCATGTATGAGGAGGATTACTTGTATGAGAAGCAATGTTACACACAATACCTGAGGCCTCATCATTTGCAATTTGGCTAGAGGAAACCTGATTAGTTGTGGAAGTAGAGACATGTGTGGCATTTTGAAGCAAACTGATGAGTTGATCATATTGAGCTTGGGAAATATACATTTGATTGCTGGAAATGGAGGCATCTAAAGTAACTTCAGATGAAGGATTCTCCACTTGACTTGCATTAACATTGGATTTGTCTTTGTTAAAATTGGGGTGTCTATGCTTTTGATAGCAAAAATTAACATATGACCAGTCATGTGGCAAAAGGTACACACCCTATGAGCACTTATGGAGTTGTGAAATCCACCCTTATGCTTGAAATTTGATCTTTAAGCAGAATTAATGGAAATGGAGGTATAATCAACATATGTGAGGTTCTTGTGGTGACTCTCTTCTTTAACCACAAGAGAGTAAATTTGATTTATGGATGGTAATGGGTCCATAATCAAAACTTGAGTCCTAACAACGAGAAATTGTCTTTTAAATCAGAAAGGAATTAAATAGCTTGTTCCTTAAGTATGTGTTCTTGAGCTTTGCGCACTGCATTGCAGTGACACCTACGATCACATATGCATATTGGAAGAGGTATGAGGGAGTTAAGTTTTTCCCAAAGGCCTTTGAGCTCAAGAAAGTACTCCCTAACAAATTTGGAGTTTTGTTTCATATTATTTGTGGAAGCACGCAAAGTAAGAATGCAAATACGACCAGCCTTGGAAAATCGTTCATGCAAATTGTTCCAAGCATCAATAGCATTTTCATGAAAGAGGACAATTGAGGCATTTTTTCACTACCCGAATTGATGATCCAAGAAAGAATGAGATGGTTGCAGCGCTGCCATTGGTCAAAGTACGCTTAAGATTAATTATCATTTATTAAGAAATTGAAGTTTGAAAATGCACTTGACAAGGTCAAGGTTTATTATGGAAGTGGTTCTAGTTTGAAAGAAGAATGTTTTGAAAAAGGGAGAAGATTTTAAAAATTTAAGAAGGGGAGGAGATGAAGAGACTATCTTAAAGCATAAAATAAAAGCTAAGGAAGGAAAGATCTAACCAAGATATAAGCCTTTGACATAAACAAGCCAAAACTCCAATCCTTTGTACTCAAGCAACAAAGATAAGCAATAACAAGCAGAGGAATAACCAAGCATTTGATGAAAGCCAAGTATCCAAGCCAAGTCTTCAAAAGAGGTCTCTCAAGGTCAAAATCCCAAATAGGATCG